GAAGTCTGTCTACTGAGGCATCTATATCTAAATGAGCGTCTATGGTTGTATAGACGCTGCTTCCAATATATGTATCTTTTAAATCGTTTATATTTATCGGGAAAGATAGTTGCCTCGTATACTACATTTTCAGATTTGCATTTTCGAGTCGATTGGACAATGGTCTTTATTCCTACAATTGCAGGTAGGGTTACTAGATTGAGTTCCATTACCGTGGTAGTTTTAAGTATTCTGCAATTATGGGAAGATATGATTTTTCTATATTTCTAACGCATGAGTAACTAATTTTAGAGTTTTCCAATTGAAAATTTTACGTAGTGGATGCTTACTGTGGAAATGTTTATCAATTAAACACAGAAAGAAACTTCCTATATCAATGTTAGAGAGTCTGCAATATGGTGGGTTGAACCATAGAACCTTCCTTTTCCTGTTCTTAGTTTTGCTATTATTCTGATTTACAAGTTCTCCATTAAAGCTTAATTCTTGTCTAAAACCACTATTTTTTAAGGGCCTGATTGTATATAAATTTATTATCATTAAATATTTCTGGCTAGAAGATATTTATTTATTCTCGTATTCACAGTTTTGGGGAGGATCTATCACATTTTAGACCATGAGACGTTGTGGAGGCGATTCCAAAAAAGCGACACCTTTTGAAAGTGCCCGAAAACCATACCACGGTTTGAACAAAATCTGCGTTGTGAGTGAAGGTTGAGCTAGTCATCGTGACCGAGGGTTTCAGTGTACTGGACTTGTTCAGACTGTTGATCTCAACAGATAATGTTCTCTCTCCCAGAAGCTGTAACTAAGGCCTTTTCATAGTTGCAATATAAACCAGAGGTGGACTTTGTAGGTGTCGAACAAACCCAAATATGCCTGAGCAGGTGTCTGTAATAGGGATTGGCCAGCCGCCCTAGTAAGCAGGCATACTCGGATACGAGCGGCCAGCCATTTATATATCATTTTTATTACAATAAACTTTATGGACGACCGTATTTGCAAAAATCGGCACACCTTTATACACACAAAAAATATCTTTAAAATGCTAGGTCGCTGAATTGTAATAAGGTTTTCCATTTATGTTTAGTAGATATAGTTTTTACTTAATTATAATATTACCTAACCGGCATTAATGCAGAATTTTAAAACTTTATCAATTATTCTAATTAAGATTTAATGAAAAATGCAAACAATTCTTGTAAAAATTAATTATTAATCGATTTTTAAGACAATAGTGTACATAGAATATCTTATTCATAAAAGCAATTAAAAGCTTTTCTAATTAACTGAGGTTTTATTGCATTTTTATTTTACGATTCAAAGCAGATTTTTAGTTAACTGGGGGCCCTGTTTTTACATGACGCCCAGTTACTGAATATTTGATGATTTAAATTAACCATTATCTTTCCCAAGAAGTTGTGCCAATCCACGGACAACGAAGAAAACAATATATGGAGAGTCATGATACTTAATATTTATATTAGTTATAAGTAAAAGTCCTTGGAGAATTTAAAACATAATTTTTTTTTGTTTTTTAGCTGAGGAAAAAGAGAATTATATTGTTTGACAGATACCTGGAAAGGGCTGAAAATAAGCAAATTTTATCGATTTAAGAAAAAGGACTCCTTGTTATCAATCTAAATTAGTTTCGAAATGCAACAAATTATTTTGCTTATTAGTTTCGAAATATAGCAAATGTATTTTGCTTATTAATTTCGAAATATAGCAAAGTATTTTGCTTATTAGTTTCTAAATATAGCAAATATTTTGCTTACTCGAACTATCACATTTAACGTGTTATTTTGAAATTCTAACTAAAATAAAAGCTTCACGAAAGATTTTTCATTTTAAAAATCCCTTTTAACCTTAGGCATCGCAGTTTTTTTTTCAGTTTATATATATATATATATATATATATAATACAATGGGAATTAAGATTACATATAGGTGATGACCATTATCACCTTGTAAATTGACATAATTTACAAGGATTTTCAAACCAGTCAAGGATGATAAATTCTTGAAATAAAAAAAATTATTTCAATAATTTATCATCCATTGACTGATTTGAATAATCCTGGTAGATTTTATTTCAATTTACAATTCCTATTGTATAAAATATGTTGCTCTGTTTAATTATAACACTGAGTTCTATATGTGAATCAGGTTTAATATTTTATAAACTTTATATTGTATTAATAGGGTTGACTTGAATTATATAACCAACGGTTTATTACCTATATATATATATATATAATATATATATATATATATATATATATATATATATATGGGGGAGAATTTTAAAAAAAGAATTATAAATATATCTATATTAGGATGGGTTATATAGGAATGTTTGTGACGGTACAATTCTTAGAGTATAACTTTTATACCTCGAAGCTCGCGTATAAATAAACCCGCTTAACGGTGTTACACGACACAAAACAAGAATGGAATATATAGGTTGTTAAATAGGTAGATTGATGAAGATGTCACGATATTAACGAAACGGTTTGGTTGTCGAGTAGAGAAGAGAAAAGAGAAAGAGAAAGAAGAAAATGAGAGAAAGCGTGAAAAGATTGAGAAGGTGAAAGAAAGAAAGAAAGAAAGAAAGAAAGAAAGAAAGAAAGAAAGAAAGAAAGTGTTTTGGAAGAAGAGGTACAAAAGAAAAAGTAAAGAATGACGGAGAAGAAAGAAAGAAAAAAGAAAGAAAGAGAAGAAACACAGAAAGAAAACAGTAAGGAATATTGACAGTAAGAGAAGAAGTAAAGAAAGAAAAGAAGAAGAAAAAGAAAGAAAGAAAGATAAAAGAAAGTGTTTTGGAAGAAGAGAGACAAAAAGAAAAAGATAAAGAATAACAAAGAAAGAAAGAAAGAAAGAAAAAAAGTGAGAAAGAAGTAACGAAAGAAAAGAAAAAATAAAGAAAAAGAAAATTTGAGAGAAATGAAGATGGAAAGAAAGGAAGAAAGAAAGTAACAGAAAGAAGTAATAGAATAAAAAAAGCAATTAAAATAAAAAACAAGGAATTACAAAGAAAGAAAGAAAGAAAGAAAGAAAGAAAGAAAGAAAGAAAGAGTGCCTGAAAGGAAGAAAAGGAAAGAGCCTGAAAGAAGAAAAAAAGAAGAGTGCCTGAAAGAAAAGGAAAGAAAGAAAGAAAGAAAGAAAGAAAGAAAGAAAGAAAGAGTGCCTGAAAGGAAGAGCCTGGAAAGTCTCAAAGATGAAAAAAGAGAAACTTGTGAAAGAAAGAAAGAAAGAAAAAAAGAAAGTGGGAAAGTCTGAAGGAAAGAAAGAAAAGAAAGAAAGAAAGAAAGAAAGAAAGAGTGCCTGAAAAGGAAGAGCCTGAAAGGAAGGGCCTGAAAGAAGAAAGAAAGAAAGAAAGAAAGAAAGAAAGAAAGAAAGAAAGAAAGAAAGAAAGAGTGCCTGAAAGGAAGAGCCTGGAAGGAAGAATGTGAAAGAAAGAAAGAAAGAAAGAAAGAAAGAAAGAAAGAAAAAAAGAAAGAAAGAGAGAAAGAAAGAATTAGACGAATAAAAAAGCAATTAAAAACGTATTAAAAGAAAAAAGAAGAACGGAAGAAAGAATAAGAATGAAAATGTGCTAGAAGAAGAAGAAGAAAAGGAGAAAGTAACAAGTAATGATAAAGGAGAAGGAAAAAAGATATAAATCGTTAAAAAACAATAACCAGAATGAAATCATGAGAAAAACCGGAAATAAAATCAAAGAATAACAGTATCGAAAGAAAGAAAAAAAAAAGGAAAGAAAGAAAGAAAGACGTAACTAATGAAAAAGAATTAAAAGATAAATAATGAGAAAGAAAGAAAGAAATGAAGAAGAAAAAGAAAGGAATCATTCAAAAAAAAAATGACCGGAAAGAAACTGGTTAGAAAAACAAGGAAAAAAGAAAAAGGAAAGAAAATTCAAAGATAACAGAGAAGAGACAAATAAATAAATGAAGAAAGAAAGAGACAAGCAGACAAACAAATAATGAGAAAGAAAGAAAGAAAGAAAGAAAGAAAGAAAGAAAGAAAGAAAGAAAGAAGTCAATCGCCAAAATTGACCACAAACAGAATGGGTAGAAGAAAAGGAAAAAGAAAAATTCAAAAATAGCAGAGAAGAAATGAAGTAAGAAATAAAGAAAGAAGGAAATAAATAAAGAAAGAAATCGAAAAAAAATCGAAAGAAAACCAAAAAAGAAGGAAATGAAAAAAAAGTAATGTTTCGGAAAATATGACCAGAAACAAACGGCTTAGAATTTTATAAGAAAAAATAAATACAAAAAAAAAAAAAAAAATGGCAGAAAAAAAGAAAGAAAAAAAGCAAATAAGAAGGAAACGATCAGAATGAAATGAAAATTGTCTAAAAGAAAAGAACAGAAAGATCAAAGGTTAGAACTGGAAAAGAGAAAAATAAATAAAGTAGAAATAAAAGGAAAATAGAAATTACACAAGGTAGAAAAAGGGTGAAAGAGAAGAATGAATAGTATAGAGAAATATAAAAGGAAGAAAGGAATAAGAAAAGGGTGAAAAGAGAAAGAGAGAGAGAGATGGAGAGAGAGAGATAGAGAAAGAGTAAAAGAGAAAAAAAAAATGACCCAGAAAATCCAGAGAAATAAATCCGGACGATGAGATAAAGAATAGAGAGGCGAAAGGGAAATAAACAGTGAATATAGATAGAAAGAAAGATAAGAGAAAGAAAGAAAAAGGAAAGAAAGAAAGAAAATATAAAGAGCGAAAGTTAGACAGAAAAGAAGAGAAAGGAATTGACAGAAACAAAAAAAAAAAAAAAAAACGAGAAAAAGATAGAAGAAAGATGTCACGATATTAACGAAACGGCTTGGTTGTCGAGTAGAGAAGAGAAAAGAGAAAGAGGAAGAAGAAAATGAGAGAAAGCGTGAAAAGATTGAGAGAAATGAAGATAGAAAGAAAGGAAGAAAGAAAGTAACAGAAAGAAGTAATAGAATAAAAAAAAGCAATTAAAATAAAAACAAGGAATTACAAAGAAAGAAAAGAAAGAAAGAAAGAAAGAAAGAAAGAAAGCCTGAAAAGAAAGAGCCTGAAAGAAAAAGTGAAAGAAAGAAAAAGAAAAGAAAGGAAGAGCCTGGAAAGGAAAAAGTGTGAAAGAAAGAACCTGGAAAGAAAGAAAGAAAGAAAGAAAAAAGAAAGAAAAAAAAGAAAGAGTGCCTGAAAGGAAGAGCCTGGAAGGAAGAGTGTGTGAAAGAAAGAAAGAAAAGAAAGAAAGAAAGAAAGAAAGAAAAAAAAGAAAGAAAGAGTGCCTAAAAGGAAGAGCCTGGAAGGAAGAGTGTGAAAGAAAGAAAAAGAAAGAAAGAAAGAAAAGAAAGAAAGAAAGAAAAGAGTGCCTGAAAGGAAGAGCCTGGAAGGAAGAGTGTGAAAGAAAGAAAGAAAGAAAGAAAGAAAAGAAAGAAAGAAAAGAAAGAAAGAGTGCCTGAAAGAAAGCCTGGAAGAAGCCTGGAAAGAAAGAAAGAAAGAAAGAAAGAAAGAAAGAAAGAAAAAAAGAAAAATGAAAAGAAAGAAAGAAAGAGGCCTGAAAGGAAGAGTCTGGAAGGAAGGAAAAAGAAAGAAAGTGAAAAAAGAAAGAAAAAAGAAAGAGCCTGGAAGGAAAGAAAGAAAGAAAGAAAGAAAGAAAGAAAGAAAGAAAGAAAAGAAAGAAAGAAAGAGTGCCTGAAAGGAAGAGCCTGGAAGGAAGAGTGGAAAGAAAGAAAAGAAAGAAAAGAAAGAAAGAAAAGAAAGAAAGAAAAGAAATAGTGCCTGAAAGGAAGAGCCTGGAAGGAAAAGAAAGTGAAAGAAAGAAAGAAAGAAAGAAAAAAGAAAGAAAGAAAAGAAAGAAAGAAAGAAAGAAAGAAAGAAAGAAAGAAAAGCCTGAAAAGAAAGAGTCTGGAAGGAAGAGTGTGAAAGAAAGAAAGAAAGAAAGAAAAAAAGAAAAAAGAAAGAAAGAAAGAAAGAAAGAATGAAAGAAAGAAAGAAAGAGTGCCTGAAAGGAAGAGCCTGGAAGGAAGAATGTGAAAGAAAGAAAGAAAAAAAGAAAGAAAGAAAGAAAAGAAAGAAAACGAAAGAAAAGAAAAAAAAAAAGAAAAGAAAATTTGAGAGAAATGAAGATGAAAAAAGAAAGGAAGAAAGAAAAAATAAAAAGAAGTAAAATAGAATAAAAAAAAGCAATTAAAATAAAAAACAAGAAAATTAAAAGAAAGAAAGAAAAGAAAGAAAGAAAAGAAAGAAAGAAAGAAAGAAAGAATTAGACGAATAAAAAAGCAATTAAAAACGTATTGATAGAAAAAAGAACGGCAGAAAACCAGTGAAGAAGGTGGAGAAAAAAAGTGAAGAAAAGAAAAAGAAAAAGAAAAAGAATAAACAGTATAAAATATGAAACAAAAAAGACGAAGTAAAAGAAGGATCGACACCAAGGGGAGAAAGAAAACGAAAAAAAAAAAAAAAGAACAAATATAAAAAAAAAGAACAAATATAAAAAAAAATCAGGTAAGAAAAAAAAAAGACAAAACAGCAAAGAAATAAAAAAAAAAAGACGAAACAAATGAAAGGGACATGGATAGAAATATGAATAAGATAAAACGAAGATGGGTAAATGAAGAAAGTAATAGAGCTATGAAAAATGAGAAAAAGATGGCGGGATAATTTTACGTAAGAAACGAAGAAAGCAGACGATACTCAACATTAGAAGAATTATCTTCCAGGCAGAAAATTCTGAAATCTTGAAGTAATTCTACGTCTCGTGTGGCGTCATTTTCTGCATAACAAAGCCACTAACACGAGCAAGACATGACGACAGAAGGAACAAAATAGGCGACGAGATGTTCAGTAGCACGCTGGAAAGCGAGAGAGAACGGCCGACATCGCGACGTAGAAAGGAATGGAGATGCCCGGTGATGTCCGGGTAAAGAGATATTGACATGGAGGGCATTTGTTTCGGTTGGGGTGAGCAAAGTCGTTCTAAAGAAGATTAGTAGTTGCGTTGGCCATTAGAGTGGCAGGACCGAATAAGTCTGCTAGGAGCAAAGTGATTCATGGCGCCGTTTTATGGTCACTTAATAAAGCTTTGATAGGAAAAAGGAAAAATAAAATTTGTTTGACGGGTCTCTCTGTTTCCTCCCATTATATATATATATATATATATATATATATATATATATATATATATAACAGTTTGAGATATGAGTTTATAACCCTGGGTTTCACGCTTTTGCGATCGTATATGCACACACACACATATATATATATATATTTATATATATATATGTATGTATATTTGTGTATTTAAGCAATAGTCCTTCTTTCATGCTCATTTCATTGAATACGACAGAGAAGGTGCTTAAATTATGTTTATTTAGGCAGCAAATTCTCTTTTAGGCATGTCTGATTGAAAATATTACAAACATTATGTCCGATTATTTTCATCATAATCCTTTCATATTCACGAATATTTTTCTGTTTACTGCAATTAAATAAGGCAAGAAATGCACTGTAACAGAGAGAATCACTTTTATTTCCTAATTACTTTCCATCTCTTTCTGAGATCTGCATCAGGGGTGAAGTTGGTAAGGCAAAACTAAGTGTAGCTATTCGTCAGTGTTGGCTTCAATTTTTTTTTTAATGAAGATTGTTTCGAGGATCTGTACTTTTAATTTGTTATTTTCTTGTGTTATCAATCAGTGTTTTTCTATACTGTGAATGTGGACAAGAATGTTGGCGTAAATGTCTCGCAAAAAGAAATGGAAAGTACTCGGGAAATAAAAGTGATTCCCACTGTCTTATTTAATTGTAATATACAGGAAAATATTCGTGAATATGAAAGGATTATGATCAAAATAAGACATAATGTTTGTAATTTATTCAATCACACACACACACACACACACACACACACACACATATATATATATATATATATATATATATATATATATATATATATATATATATATATATACACGCGAAGCTTGATCAATAAGAAAGTATCGGGACTAGTAAGCATTCCTGAACTCCTATTTTGGGGTAGCGAGCAGCTACTTCATCGCGATCTCTTGGATTTCCTCGAAATCTTGAAATCATGTTCCTTTCAAGTGTAATTTTTGGAAAGAGCCAAAAAATCGCAAGAGTCGAGATCTGGGGTGAGATGGTGATTGTCGGGGTTGGAGAATGTGCTTGGCCAAAAGCTACTGCACAAACCATGTTCACTGATGAAACCTATGTTGTGTGGCGGGACGTCCACACTCTACACACTTTCCTTCCAAGCACTGGTATAAACAACGGAAGTGAGTGAAAACGTTATTATTTAATGTACGTGCGCGATAAAGTTCAAGATCCAAGCGGCTTCTCTCTGCGTACTTTAGCTCTGTTACCATAGCAAAAGTGCCGATACTTTTTGACCAGACTTAGTACACACACACACACACACACACACACACACACACACACACACACACAGATATATATATATATATATATATATATATATATATATATATATATATATATCAAATCCGTGGTGGAAAGGATAATCTAATCAGGTTTTTTTAATATTTTATATTAAAAAGATAGATTCATGAAGAGAGCTCAATGTATTGTATACAGAGCAATATAATATACAAATATTTAAAATAGATATATTGGCAAATGTAGAAAAACATTGTGTAACGAGTTTCAACCTCTAGGATGTCTTCAACCTCTAGGATGTTTCAACCTCTAGGATGTTTCAACCTCTAGGATGTCTTCGTTGACTGAATAAAAATTCAGCGTTCCAACATCTATAGCGTTTTTTGTCGGTGCATATTTGTGACCGACGCTCGAGTGTTTGGGTTGTTTTTTTAATATAAAACAATATCCTTCACATAATTCCATGAAAAAATTACTTTAATCCTATGAATCATATTTATTATAGCCTAGTGACCTGAATATTCGAGGAATCTTATTAAAAAAATTCTCGAATATTCAGGCCGGTAGCCGATAATAAATATATTGTTTACAAATGAAAATGGGGTCTCTACTCAAATATTGGTTTCCATTAAAAATAACGTTTATGTGATCAAAACTGTCGGATTAATAAATTTTAAAAAATCATTACTTTTTATAATATATATATATATATATATATATATATATATATATATATATATATATATATATATATATAAGCAAATATATGGATATAGATCCGACAGTATGAAGAAAAATATATACGGAAAAAACAAACAAAAATCATATATACAATTTATACTGTTTTAATGTTAATAGTCGACGTCGGACGTTTCGGTCAAAATAAACCATCTGAAAGGACATATTCATAAAATATAATTATCATTATCAATTCAACATGACAAAGACGATGTACATAAGTTAATTATATTTTATGAATATGTCCTGAAGATGGTTTATTAGACCGAAATCGTCATCGACTTTTCTTATTAACATTAAAACAGCATAATTGTATATAAGGATTTTTGTTTGTTTTTTCCGTATATATTTTTCTTCATACATATATATATATATTGTCAAAAAATGTATGACAAAGTGGATGCATTTCGTCCTTTAGGGGTTCATCAGACTGAATTTGTTCTCATGGTGCGGCCACATAGGCGTATGAACGAGGGATTGCATGTGTTATTGCATGTGTTATTGCATCAATATAACAGATTTAGTCCGATGATGTTCTAAAGGACAAAATGCGTCACATGAAATCTTTTACACGTTGACATTTTTCCCAATATTGTTCTAGATATATAAAATATTCTTATATATATATATATAAAAGTGAACATTGAAGTCAGCATTCAGAGGCGACAGGCTGTTTCATGCTAGACGCAATATGAAACAGCCTGTCGCTTCTGAGTGTTGACTTCAATGCTCACTTTTATATTTACATTTACATACGCTCTATCTCTGATATTGAGCACATTATCCCATAAATATAGCACACCTTTAAACTATATTGCTTCATATTATATATATATATATATATATATATATATATATATATATATATATATATAGTGTTCCAATAACTTGGACCGATTTTAAATGTGTATTAAGTTTAAGCGACTAATAATTTTTTTTCCTTTTTCTTTCAGATTTAACAACTTAAGTATTTGGCAATTTCAACCAGGGAAAGATTAACAATCAAACAACGGTCAGACAAGGTGATCAGCGTCGATCAACTTCGAACCTGCTCAGTATCTTGATGGGTGACCGCATGGGAATAACAGGTGATTACCGTCGATCAACTTTGAACCTGCTCAGTACATTGATATGTGACCGCATGGGAATACAAGGTGATGACCGTCGATGAACTTTGAGCCTGCTCAGTAGATTGATAGGTGACCGCATGGGAATAACAGGTGATTACCGTCCATCAACTTTGAGCCTGCTCAGTACATTCATGGGTGACCGCCTGGACATAGAAGTTGATCACCGTCGATCAACTTTGAGCCTGCTCAGTACCTTGATAGGTGACCGCATGGGAATAACAGGTGATTATCGTCGATCAACTTTGAGCCTGCTCAGTACATTGATATGTGACCGCATGGGAATACAAGGTGATGACCGTCGATGAACTTTGAACCTGCTCAGGTCCTTCATTTGTGACCGCATGGGAATACCAGGTGACGTAAGATTGGATTTCCGTTTGGTGTAAAGTTTAATGGCTCGGAATTGCAAAATCGGAGAGGCGAGTTCTAGTTCCAGCTTCTTTCGTTACATTTACTCATGCGCAAATACCACACGGGAAAGGTTTAGATCCACTTTTACCCTAGGTATGGGTTAATTAGTATGCCTTCTATGACTAAATCATTATTCTAAAAAAATTCTTACAATCTGAAATTTTTTTTAGCCTTCAATAATCTTCAAAGGGTTGACAAACCGTAAGTAACGAACCAATCAAACAAAATCCCGATATCATTTGAATCAAATGATACAAAGAAACTTTAAAATATAAAATGTTTGACTATATTTCTTCTAATAAAAGTAAATCCCCTTCTCCTCTTCAGTGTCATCAAAACTCCCCAGTAGAGAATACTGCCACAGCTTCACCACTCTAGGTGTTGCTATGGTTTCTGCAGCATGTCGGTTTGTAGAGATGGAGTTACCAGCCCCGACACACAATCGCATTTGAATTGAGACTTCTTCTTCTTCTTCTTCTTCTTCTTCTTCTTCTTCTTCTTCTTCTTCTTCAAACTGATTGCCAGCCAAGGCTAAAGAGCCAATTATGTGATTTGACCCATGGGTAGTGGGGAGAAGAGATAAATTCATACTTTTCACAAGGATATTTGTACGAAATGAACGCCACGAACTTGGCCTGAATGTGAATCCTGATAACCACTAGACGACGCGCAAAGCCTTTAAGTAATAGTACATTAAGTTATAATGAATATAACAGAAGCCTTAGAGTTTTCAGTAAGGAAATGCCCGCAATCAGTGCAAGTGACTCCTGAAAAATGCTAAGAATAACTAGGCCCAGGTTGAAAATTGTCCCCACCGGGAATTCTGAAAAAATTACAACATATTAGACAATCTTTACAATTAACATTATACTCTAAATCCACGCTAAACGACAAGGGCTATCCCCTACCCGATATCCCCACCCCTCTCAGAGAACACAAACTTGGCGATATGTTTGTCTCGGCTCGGAAAATTTCCAGACTTAAAAAAAATTATTGGCTGTACTATAGCTACTGGATTGGATGAATTTTCTACAGTTGTTGTGAAGAATCTTAGCCTCCACCTATCCCAATAAAATGATAAAAAGTTTTAACTGCTGCCTGATGGATAAATGTTTCCTAGAAGATTAAAGTCTCAGTTGTATACCCAGTTTACAGGAGTACGGATGAGCGTTCATACTCAATATCGCACCATACAGCCTTGTCAGAGTTATAAAAAATATCTTGTGGCATCAACGAGAAACAACATCCT